GCACCCCTAGGGGGGGAAGCTTTATTTCCTGAGCTGTTATTTTTGGGATTTTCTTTTACCTCTAGGCAACTTGCGTGTTGCTTCCGACTACACATATCACTCCCTACTATCACTGAGGCAGCAGGCCGAAGGCACCTGCCTACACTCCTTTCATCAGACAATGGAGGGCCGTCCTCGGCTGTTAATCCTCTAAGTCTGACAATACCCCCCACCCCCTTCACATCTAGTTTAAAGCCCTATTGACGATCCCAGCTAGTTCTGTAGCAAGAAGCCTTTTCCCCCATGGAGACAAACCCGCCCCATCCCTGGATAGAAGGTCTGGCATTAAGGTCAGCCCGTGGTTAAAGAACCCTAGGTTGTGTTCCTCACACCACTTATGTAGCCAATTATTTAAATCCTCGATCTTTGTTTTCCATCCCGTGTCATATCCCGAAGTTGGTATGATAGAAGAGAATATTACTTGGGCCCCGATCCCTTCAACATTCTTCCCAAAACCCTGAGATCCTTCTTAATAGTCCGGATGTTTCTTTTCCTAAAGTCATCAATACCAACTTGGAAAATAAGAAGAGGGTAGTAATCCGTGGGCCTGACTATAGACGGGAGTTTTTTTATCACATCCCTAATTGTTGCCCCGGGAAGGGAGCAGACCTCCCTATGTAAAGGGTCAGGTCTACAAATCTGGCCCTCCACACCCCTCAAAAGGGAGTCTCCTAAAACAATCACCCACCTTTTCTTCCTAACTGAGGATGTCTTGATGATATGTGTGGTCCTTGGGAAGGAAAGGTCCTTTCCTTCCTTTCACACGATAGTTCAGCAGAAGAATTAAGTATATATTACGGACTAAAATTATAAAGTGTGAATTATTTTGTTCTGGGGATTCAACAAGGACAGAATCAGTTACCATTGGGGTTTTTTGTTTCTAGTTCTTGCAGCAAGGACTTACCTCTGTTATGAAAAATATATCTCCATTGCATAGTCGTTTGCCCTCCTCAGCAGTCTCTGCAGTGCGGGTTGTTTCTCCACTTTCACATTCCTGGCGGTCAGGATCCTTTCTGAAACTACAGTCTGGCAAGAGATCCTTGAGATACGTATTCCGCGTGCAGGAAATCTTGTCATCAATTTGAAATAAAAGTCGTTTTTTATGGTCTCTAGGTCAGAGAAAGAAAGAGGGAGAAATGTGTTTACAGAGGATGCATTTACCATCTCTCTGTATTTCTTCTCTTTCCCATCTCTATACTTGGGCCAGATTAAAAACCTTAATAATGTTCGAAACCGTTAAGACAACTCACCCTTAAAAGATGTTCCGTGAATTTTTGTAAAACCTTTTGGTAAAAAACAGTAATACGGAGCAGCACCAAAATCCTGCTTCCAAAAATATTTCAGAATCTATGTGAAAATCATAGAGTGGCAAAAAATAATTAACATTGAGGGTTTTTCAAAGATGCTTTTATGTCAATTTTAAACATTCGACAGACAGTAACCCAAAATCTTGGAATTCACATAATGACAATTTAAATGAAAGGCAAACAGTTTATGTTATCTCTGTTCACAGTCCAGGTTGAGATTAACGAACTCATCAAAGAAAGTTTATTATATAAATGATTTCTAATATAAATAGAATCAGATCTAGATGAAACATTAAAAGTTTTACAGTCTTATTTTACATTGTTGGCCTGGCTGTAACACTTTCAAAACCAAAGCGAGACTGTTAGCAGGAGAAACTGCAAAGCACTGGCTTACCTGGTCACATGATTTGAATAGTGTTGGCAACAGAGTTCATTTATTAGGTCGCAATCTTGCCTAAACAAGAACATGAACAAAATCATGATGTACAAAACATAAACTTACATGCAATGCCACATTTAGCGTTGATTTATAATTAATGGAAGAAGCCCATTTTAGCTATGATGATCTTCCACCAACAATTAAAAACAATCTCTGACTCAGAGTTCAAAGATAGGGCAATAAAGGAACAGTTTTGTCTAAATACCACAGAACATGAGGCAAGGATGTTTGTGATGCACACCTAGGTTAGCTAGATTTGGTTTTAAGATAAAGAAAAAAGCTGAAGAAAAACTAAAGCATGGATGCATTATTTTCTCTGTGGATGTATTAAGATTTATTAGCTTTTTAAAGACCTGGAATTTTAACTTTTAAATGCAGATTAAGTACCTATAAATATATTCTATAAGAATCTTATCTGAAAATCATTAATAACAGTATTGTACGTGAATGAAGATTGGAGAAATAAAATTGATTTCGGAATTACTCAGCATTCACAACCAACAGGTGAAGCAGCTAAAATTTATAAATCACTTGTTTGCACACTAGTAACCTGTAAATAGTGGGTGGTTTTTAATTGCTGAGAAAAGGTTCTTCACAAACAGAAGTGGAAGAGTTTTTTCTTAAGTACCCTTTTGTGCAGAAGTGTAAGTTTATGTACTATTGGTACTACGGGACGTTACATTTGTCCCTTCAGCGTTTCTGTCAGGCCATCCATACTATTCACACTCCTGTGATGGTTCCCATGATCAGTGATTCCTAACCTTTCCAATCTTTCTTCAAAGTGTGTTAGAGCACTGCACTACACCCCTTCTTAAATGACGAGTACTGTGCTTCCAAACATCCAAACTGTAGGCATTCACCACTGCCCAGCAGGAACACTAACACCCATCAGATTATATGACTAAATCTGGCCCTTGTTACACGGTCAAAATGCAAGTATCTTCTGTCATTTGGTCAATGTCCACCTGTGACAGAAGCATGTACAGACAGTAGGTTTTATGTTCCACCACGCACCCTGGAATTCACATCTGCCACGATGGGATACGTTTGAATTTGGACATTTCTTTGTATTTTGCGGGTTCCTCCTGCAGTCAAGCCCTCACCTTTCGCTTCTGAAGAACACTGCGCTGTTAGCAAACACCAGAGCACAGGCTCTCAGAGAATCTACTACAAAAACTGACCACCTACGTCCATCCTTTGTTTCTTTACCACAAACAGTACAGATGAACATGAACACAAAAGGAGAAACCATAGTGCAAAACATTACATTAAGTTTATAGAAAAACGAAGCAACTCCCCATGGAGAGACTGGGGGCAACCAGAAGGTACACGAAATGACACCTGGCCTGTTGTTCTCTCTGGTAATTTTATGATATTGCCACTAGTGCCTCCAACTGAACACATTCAGCTATTTTTAGACTGTGGCTGCTAGCAAGGATTTTTTCAATGTCTGCCTGCATGCTCTGTTACCTTCTGAAAGCAATGAACTGCGATTGTTTGGCATCCTGCAATCCTGGTCCTTTTTTAAGTAAAGTCCTTATGGCAGTTTGCAAATCTGTTCAAGAAGACATAAAAGGTAAGGCATAAAAATATGCAGAACGAACAATTTAAGAAAGAAAAACATAATTCAATATGAAATTGCCTTTGCTTATTTCTTGCTTCAGTGACATTTCAAGTCCCCCCAAAAAGTATCACGCAGTTAGCCCACTGTTAAAATCTGAGAGACAAGAGTGATATGGAAGGAGAAAAATTCTTATTTCTCTGTATTAAACCACTGCATAGAGCATATTTCATGCAAAATAAGGTTTTGATACAGCACACTGAAGACGTAAAGGTAGAACATTTTTAAGCCACAGACCTATACGTTTAGATTCCATAGCAGAAATACATTTTTAATATTCTGTTTGCTGAGTGAGTTAGTATAGTAAGATACGGTGATAATATTCACACTATTTTTTTTTTTCCACATGCCCCTTGAAGCTTTTTGATGCATATGAAGTAGAGGCCACTCGATCTGCTTTTCCAATAACGGTCAAAAACCCAAAAACAATGGCCCTAACCCTGACCCCAAAACATTTTTAAAGAAATACTGTGTCCCCTCTGCCTCCATTTTCCTAACTTGACTCTAGAGTTGGAGGCACATTCCTGTCCAACATACCATCCTGTTACAGTTGCTGTTTACTCCAATGATTCACCTCTGAAAAATTTAATCTTTTAACAGCTCCAGCTACAACATAAAAAGACAATCACATTTGATTACACTGGTGGAAGTTGTATCACCATCATTTCAAAATGTAACTGGTGAGCTGGGACCCTACAGCACATCCTTTGCACTGACGGGTCTTGCTGTGTGCACTTGCAGAAGGCAAAAGGTAAACTATGCATCTAGCATTTAAATTTATACCACAAACAAAACCAGACTAAAATCCCCCCAAAACGCTAGTTCCAGCCAAACAGTCTATGCTTTACCAAAGGGAAAGTCAAGATCACAAAAGTGCCTGTACACACGTACTCTCGCAACTCCCGCCAGGAGGCAAAGCTATAAGAATGAATTTCTTCTCCGGGCTTGGCATTGTCATTTCCTCATTACAACCAGAAACTTTCAGCACCTCATCAAATTCAGGAAACTTCCGGTGAGAGATTCTTGACCAGAGCAGTGGAGGGAAAACAGAAAAATTATTTCCAGTTAAAGGATTCCAGTGTATCATCATCTGCATCAGCCTGAGGTTCACCACTTATAAATTTTTGGTCATTTACAGTATATACACCAAAAACTCTTTCCTCTGAGCCTAACTCAATTTCACATTAAAAAAATTGGTAATTGATTCCCCAAACTCTTCAGCACTGCAGCAGATACTTAGATTACCATACAGTTCTCTTGGGAGCAGACTGCAGTAACACAGAAGTGTTACTGAAAAAAAAGTAAGAGTGTTTGTAAAACACTTGGTAGTTCTGCACATCTTGCAAATATTCAGAATATTCGCAAATTCCCATCAACATCAAAAGGTCTTGGGCACTTGGACCTAGATTTTGTTTTCTGAGGTTTAAAACAGAAATCATGCACTGACAGTAAACACGGATTATTTCCAGACCAAAAGTAATGCAAATGCTAGAAACATTTAAAGGTTCTAGGTAAGTGAAACTATGATTTAATGGCCCTTGACTTCTAAAGTGTCAATGTAATTCAGTCTATTTTAGCTGTTGTCACGCTTACAAGCAATGTCTTTAAAACTGCCTTTTTAGAGAAGCAATTGTAAGTCATTTCAGAAGGCATGAAGTGATTTGTGCATGTACAACTCATTTGAAAACAACAAAAAGTATTTGGTAGAGAAATACATCCCATAAAATACAAGAGTATTCCAGCACAAACATTTTTTTGCCCAATACATATACTCCTGAAAAAACTTGTGGGTTTTTATTGGTTTTGTTTTGGGGGTTGGTTGGTTTTTAAAAACAGTGTTACTGATTTTGAGTCAGAAACTGTAACAGAAGCATAACTAAAGAGTCAAATCTGGATGCACTAATATTTTGCAGGTAGAGGATCAGGCCTACTTCAAGAATGCTTCTTACATGCACAAGGAAATCCTACCTTGATGCGTTATCTACAATTAGTTGCGATTCAGCTCTGTGATTAGTTCGCAGTTCCACAGAAAAGCCTCTTGATTTTAGACCCTCAAAGATATCAGCTAACATGTTTCCTGGGTCTATGCTTGGTAGCTGTCTAGTATCACCTAAACAGAATGCAAATTAGTTTTTGTGAGAAGCAACAACTGTTACAAACTGTCTTTAAAAAAAAACCCTGAAATTAATAAATACTCAACCCTCTACATGCTTCCTCAATACAATTCACCTGGAATAAAACCTTCAAGAATCTAAGAAACTCTGTTTGGGGAATCAGCCTGTAGTATACTTTAAATTTTTCATATTCCTCACTCAGTAATGCTTTACTAGCAGGTGCAAATCACTCTGCATGATGAACACTGACAGTGATCATATCTTATTCAAACACATCTTGAAAGTTACACATTTAAAAACAACTGCCATAAACGGCAAGCCAAAAAGCAAACCTCTGAGAAAGTAGGAAATTTTGATTTTACACTTCTTTGTTTTCCTTTCTGAATTAAAACAAGATGATCCTAGCATTAAGAATGACATGAAACCTCCCTTCTAACACGCAATTAATATGCTAATACTAGCTTCTTTAAATTTAAGGAAATCAGAAAAGTTTTCCAGTTGCAAGATGTAATAAACTACCACATGGAAGTCATAATACTTCCAGAACCAAACAGAACACTGCTAAACAGAGAACGGAGATACTGATACTTTCATACTGACAGTTGAGATGGAAAACTGTCTATCTCATCTGACCTTAACGAATAAGCAGAAATATCCCAGTACAATGTAATATTCTGGGGGTTTTAAGAGACTCCATGAGACCAGTGGCAGCTCAGATACTTACACCATATATTCTGTATTGTTAAATACTGTACTATGCCAAATTTGCTGTTTCTCTTACCTAGAATAATAAGTTTGGCAAGCTGAGCATGCTCACACAAGAGTTTTAAAACTAAACTAAGAATGTGTACAGACACCAAACTTCCTTCATCCACAATCAGAATTGTCACAGTAGAAAACTTCCATGGCTGTGCTTGTTCGCTCTGCCTCCACGATTTAAAACTATAGATGATCTAGAAACAAACAAAAATAAATCAAGCTCTGACACTAATCAACCACAAACAACTGTCTTATAAAGGTAGCCAGTGTGAGACATCCTCTAATGTTGCATTTATAGCTATTACCTGAAATTCTGAACTTTAATCTGAAAAGACTCAGAAGACTCAACCGTTCAGTCTTATTTTCCTCCTTGGTGAACACATTTCTAGCTGAGATTATCAACACTTACTTACGTAAAAGCACAGAAGTGCATCCTTTTTTTCTGCAGGGACCCTAAAGGATACAAGGTCAGCCATTAGGTTGCTCAGTAACAGAACTCCTACCGCAACTTGCTGACATTAATAAATCCCCAATACAGCAAGGGGAACGAGAACAGGCAACCATCCAGCCCCCAAAGATGAAATAAGCCCACAGTACTTTTTATGTTATTGTAATTTTGATTTATACAGGTTATTCCACACCTCCAACATCTTCTTGGTATCTTCAACTACCTCGAACAACAGAGACTTGACCTAAGTTTATTAACAAAGAGTTTTGCTTTTTACTTTTTTGTAAAAAAAATCACACAACGTTTAACAGTAATAAAGAAAACACTGTGTGAATCAAATTTTTCTCATTATTCAACCCCAGGCTCCTGATCTCTTCGGGTATGTGCAGGTATCAGTATGATTGCTAGGCAACAAGACACTAGAAAACAGCTCTGCCATCTAGAAAGTATTTCTGTCTTAATTTAAAAAAAAAACAAACAAACAAAAAAAAAAAAAACACCCTGAGAAGCTAAGACGACTAGATGTCTTGGAAAGGCACAAATTCCAGCTGTGTGTAAGTAAAAACTAACCCTCAAAGTTACAGCAAATAATGTATTTCACATGACTGATTTACGATTCCCCAAAACATAATGCTGACTTGACAAGCTGCACCTAAGCATTATCATTAATAGCTACTTATTTCATAAAGAAATTTCAGTAACAACCCTTTTTTTCAAAACAAGAACAGACAGTGCCAAAAGGTCTTTTGGAATACAATTTCAAAAAAAGATAAAAATTCCTTACCTGATGCAGTGTATATGCACGAAGTTTAGTTTTTTCACTCAAAATGCTTGCTGCCCTCCCTGTAGGTGCAGTAAATAGTACATTCAAAAATTTTTTTGTGTACATATTCTCTGACTCGCAATGATGATCAAAGGTATGCCATTCCTCAGAAGCATCCAGGTCTTCTTCAAAGTCCTTAGAAGCAGCTTCCACTTCTTTCTCCATCTGCTTTAAGTGACGAAAAAGGCAGCTAACTATTGTACTCTTCCCACAGCCTCCTTTTCCACTTATGATTGTGACAGGATTAGAACAAATCTTTTCCATAGCAACCACCTGATCTAAGTCAACCTCTGCTTTACTTTGGGTACCAGACATAGACTCCACTTGCTTTTCAGGAAAGTGATTTTCACAGTTACGATTGTCTGGATGATTTTCCTTCAGATGTTCCATTTCATGAGTCTGGGTAACACTCATTTTGTTATCTACCATTTCTTTTGACGTCTCAGAAACATTAAGTATCTTTCTCACATCAACATCCAGTTGCCATGAGCGGTTTGACAGAAGCTCACCTATATACATCGCAATATCTTTTTCAGATTTGTAAAGATGAGGCAGAAACACTAGTTTTTTCTCCCTAATCACTACATTCTGATCTTTCAGAAATTCAAGAGATTGCCAAGCATGCTCAATGGACATATCTTTAGCTACAAAACGAGCTAACTCATCTTGATCTTCGTAAGTGTGTCCCATTTCTCTACACCGTTTCTTGAGTTGGTCGTACAGAATTAATGCATTCTTCTGCAAGTCAGGGATCTTCCAGAGGAGATGCTCACACTGACAGAAGGCGGCCCATGTTGCCTCACAGTAAGAAAGGTTCAGTTCCCTATAGGTAATCTTCTCCCCAAAAAGAATAAAAGCAAACATATATTTATTTCAGAAGATGTTAGCCTCCTTCTGAATAACATTCCTTCAAGTAAACACAAATTGCAATTCAGAGGGTGGATGTACATATTTTTCATAATGATGTACAAAGTTATAATGCTTTTCAAGCCATATGAAAGCAAGATATTTAAAAGATGGAATGATAATTCCTCTCAGTCACTCTTCTCTATAAACTAGAAACTTTAAAAATCAAAAACTTGGTGCAAAAAATGGGTATTAGGAAGAACTTGTGCACACCTAATTAGCACAATTTCAAGCAAAGTCACAAGCAACTGTAGAAAGGCAGTAGCCAGAATACTGTACCCAATTCTGAACACGCTACTTCAAGAAATACGCAACCTTTACAGAGACTACTGCAAAACAGCAAAAGACTGAGATGCGCAAAAAAGATGAACTATTGAGGGAAAGAAAAATGAATTTGACTTGCTGATCCTTAAGAGAAACAGCTAAAGAGGGTCTTTGTGCAATAAAAAAAAACTGCAGTGAGAATACAGGTCCTTAGTACAAGAAACGAGAGCAACAAGTCTATATCGCATCAAGGAATAGTCAAATTGGACATCAGGAAAAGCTTTTTAAAGGAAAGGATGTGAAACACTGGAATATATTGGCCAGACTGCTGAA